CAATTCCCTCCTCTAAATAGGAATGAAAAAACCTTTTCTCTCCATCTCATCCTTATGCATTTTTGCATTCATCCAAGGCCTGTCCTACTTATTTCTGCAATTGCTATAGACTTACAAATCTGCTTGACGAGAAGACTAAACTCAGTTCAAGGGTGTACATGCAAGCTTCTTTGTGTTCTCAGAGGGGAAAGGGTGATGTCCTCATCAGAAGATAAAGTGGTTGAGAGGTAGCTGATGAATCTGAGAAGCAATTTACAGTTGTTTAGTCTTTGCACCTTATCACAGTTCCTCCAGTGTCATGTCTTTTAACCGCCCTCTTTTTCCAAGGCCCTACAGATACAAATTACTCCTCTATTTTGAAAAAAAAATGACACCTAAATGCACCACCCCAAAAACTGAGGACTGAGAAGGAAAATGAAGGGGGTACATCACAGTATAGATGCACAACTCTGCCACCTCCTAACTCTCTGGAGTGGGAACATATCACTAGCATCCACCAACTCTCACTGTTATGCCACTCTACAAATAGAACTTCTTTTCAGAAGGAAACAAAGGGCTACACTGAGCGGGAAGGGAAAGCACCACCATATTTCCTTAAATATCCATCCAAGTGCAGGTCCTGCCTGCATGTCATACAGGCTGCACAGAACCTACAGCCTGCATTGAGTGATTGATCTGGCTCCGCTAGAAGAAAAGCTTTGTTCCTCATCTACTCTCCTTTGCTCTTAAGACAGAGAAAATATTCAGAATGGCAAACTTGGAAAGCAGAATGGAATACTTAGTGAAGTAAACAGAGCAAAACATCTAAGGTCTAGATTTGCTCACAGTACAGAAATGCATAGAAAGTCTGTAAAAAATAGGGGGAAAAAAAAAAGTCCTGTTATTTTAACAAATAAAAAATAATCAGTTAAGCTTTCCAGACTTCTCTTTACTCTGTAGAATGACTAATATGTATTACAATCTCAGTTTCAAATGCAGTCAGACCCCATTTTGATTTTGAACAAATGGCTGCAGAAAAAAAATAGTTTACAATATTTCCATTGTTATCTTCTTCTAAAGCACCTCAAGTTAGGGGAAATGAATTAAAAGGAAGTAACATTAAATTAGTATCGTAACATTTTAATGTTACGTGTCTTCTGTCAAAAGTATTACTTAGCAGTTTTAACAAACCAGTACATTTATCAGTTATTTTTTGTTGTGCATTGGCAGACAAAACTCTCTAGCAAAATTCTTAAAATACATGTATAAAGAAGGAATAAAATAAAGGAAGTATTGAATTCTTATGAGGAATCTATACATAGCATTCACACTGGAAAAAAAGAGCTCCCCCAAGAAGTCCTTAATGTTTAAGAATAAAATCAAAGATGAAATAAAGAAAAGGAAAATGAAGAAATGAGCAAAGCCTTCCATAGGAAAAACTGTAATTAGATAACAGAATCTAACGAAATCTGTGGAACTGATTTGCAGAAAAAAATGGATAATTATCAAGAGAAAATACTGGGCAAGAATAGTTTATTGTTGTAATGATTCTCAAGCATAAGCATTAACTACAGATCATGTGTAAAAATACACAATAATAAGTAACCTATGTATATAGTAATGTACCTTACTGGATCTTCCTAGCGAAGAAGCAGAAACTCTTTAACAACACACTCTTACTTTTCACATTCCTCTGCGGACACACACTGCACTGATGATGTGACATTTCTGAAGCCCTCAGACCTTTTCTACAGCCTTTATACAATTTGGGGTTTTTTTTATATGTCTCCTGTGGTTATAGAAAATGATCACAGTTGTTTAGAAAGGTCTGGACTAGACAGCCTAAGGAATTACTGCTATTAACAGTGGGAAAGAATGTGCAAGTCTGTGCCTATGTGGATAATTATTAAATAAATTACTGAAGGAAACAAGTTAAATAAACATAGCACTTTTTCGGATCAGTCTTTGTTTGCAAATCAAAATCATAATTAGCAACACAGATTATCAGGATTGTTAATGTGTGCTCCCTCTACTGGTTAATTCACTCTACAGCCATAAAGATAATAACAGTCTGTAAAAATCCCCAGATTGCTGTGTTGCAACTCAAGAGCCCAAAAGATCTGAAACCAAATCATATTATTAAAGAAAACCCTTATACGCAGTCAGTATCTTACACATTAGTTCTAAATGTCACCTTAGCTCGTTAAAATGTCAGAATGGAAGCAAAAGAATCTTGCAGTTCACAAAGATGTTTCTTATCAAACCAGCTTGTTTTGTGTGCCTAGTTCGTAGAAATTCCACTTGCCTCAGATTTAGAAATGCAATTAAACATTTCAAATCCTGAATCATTGTAAGAAACCACTGTTAATTGGATTTTTAATTGAAAGCTCCTTTTTTCTCCTCCTCATACAAAACACCATCAGCAACTGAGCTGCAAAGCAGCGTCGCTCACAGGAGAACTTGGGCTGGAAGGCAGGCTTTAGCAGCCCACCCGATACACCCTCCTGCTCACAGAGGGGCTAACTCCACCTTCGGTCAGGATGCTCAGGGACTGGTCCCATTGACTCCTGAGTACCTCCAAGGCCGTCAACTCTGCAGCCTCTCCAGGTAACTCATTCCCATACTTAATCACCCCCATGGTGAAAAGCTTTCCATGGCTTGTGCAAAATGTTTTTTAGATCAAAATCAAGCACAAAGTCTGTGCATAAGTAAACAGCAAATTTTTAACAAAACCCCGGAAAAAACAGTTTATTAAAAACCATGTAATCTGATCACAATTACTACTAGTTGGAAGCAGTATATTTCCTGAGCAATGCAAACATCGCTAGCAGCTTGACTCATCTGAAAGAACCGAAGACCACTTTACTTCTGAATTTTGATGGTATAATACCTATGGGACTCTGCATTTCATCTGAAGCTGACAAAATATACTCTATAAATATTTATATAGCATATAGCAAATCCTCTTGACTCTTTATTTCATGAAGCACAAATAACACTCATATATCCACAGGTTTTCTGATTATCTCTCCTGGAGAGGTAATTTAAACACTAATTTTAAATGTCAGCTTCTGACAAATAACTGTTTAAATGATTTTAAAGTGGAGTGAGTTGTAGTAAACATTAATATATTAGTACAATTACTTTTAGGTACCAAAACTGGAAATAACAGCAAATTTCATTTACCTTGCTCAGGATGTTTTTTTTTATTAATAGGCTTTAGCTTTGTAGATGAGCAAGACAAACTTCTATTGTTATATACAGATTAGAAATATAAACACTTAACACTTCCCACAACTGACTTCAGAATTGATTCCAAGTATTATCTCAAAAAAACATTCAAAGAGCCAATGTGACAAAGAGCACTACTGCCCTCTAATGAGCCAGCCCATAAAAGCTCCTTGGTAACAGCGTTTCATGTCTTTCCTGAAAAAAATAAAGTTATTATATTCGTGAATTATTAAAAAAAATTATAAAGTTTCATGAGGAATGAAGACAATCATTAATAACATATATGACATATTCATGCCACATTTCTGCACAAAAGGCACACACATAAGTTTGGGGAGAAAAAAAGAAGTACCTAATATTTAGGATTTTCAGATAACGTAATACAGAGTGTACAAACATCATGAAGATGCAAAATACCGCGCAAAAATTATGTTCCAATACTTCTGTCATTGTATAAGCAGATATTATCCAATCTTAAGGCTATTCTATAGTAGGATGTAATCATTCAGTGAAAAAAAATAAAATGGTTATCTTCACACCAATCCAGATTTTTAAATTTTAGTGTCTGTAGTGTGACAGCATCAGTATGTTTTTCTTGTTGCACTGTTCTATCTAAATGCCAGCTAGAAGTCTATTCTAGGCTTGTAATTATTGCAAAATAATTCTGATCTTGGTATCTAATTATACCCACAAAAAGAAATAGAAACAACCAAAAAAAATATACTTGCTGAATTCTCTTTTTAAAGGAAACAGAAGAACTTTGTGTCATGTGAAAGCGACATTTTTTCCTTACTTGTTTTAAAACTATTTTGCCACAGAATTGAATCTGTATGTAACGCTGCCTGATGCACCTTGGACATAAAATATTGTCTGGGTCCTAGATTTACATTTCAAATACAGATTGCAGTGAACTGCTGAAAAAAAATGTAACTGCTGCAAGTCCTGGTGAGAAGCACAAACATAAGCTCTGCGTTCTCTTTTATGCTACCATAAATCGGAAATTCCACTCATATTAGTAAAGTTACTGTGATTTCAACGTAATGCTAAAGCAGAACTGAATTCTGCTTTTTCCCCTCAAATCTTTTATACTGACCTTTTCATAGATAAACACTGAGACAGACACCACAGAAGTAAAGACGCAATTTCTATTAGCAAGATAAGGTTAAAAGCAATTCATGTGTTTAATTTAAAACATGCTAGCTAACAAAAGGTACAGATTTTATGAATAAAAAATTATGTTCATTAGTAGGTTTTGGCAGTGAAACACCCCCAGTCACTAAAATCCTTGAACTTAAGACTTTACCTTAAAACCTCCAAATATTGGGTTTCTGTGGCTTTGCGTACTATGTCATCATTCATATAAGTACATCATTAGCACAGAAAGGTTGCAAGTGATGAGTAATATCTTACATAACTACACACATGGTAGAAGGCTGCAAGCATTTAATTAGGCATTAAAAGTATAAGAAGTACCAATCACATGCTATGTGATAAAAATAAATTATCTACAAAGATAGTTTAGAGACCTAAAATAACCATATTCCATGATATTTCCTTATTATGTTACAGCCCAAAGAGCTGGTAACACAGCTCTCAGTCTACCTACTACGTATGCTATTACTTACATCATTACTTCACAATTCGAAGTCCTTACTGTAATTTTGTGAAATACATAAATGAAACACTGGCAACACTAACAACCGCCAAGAGTTCCAACTAATGCCTTGGAAGTTTGAACATAAGGCCATCACCACGACTCATTCGAACTCTGCCAGGTGGGTATTTCTTACCTTTGAATCTTCATTGCTCACTCCCAACTCTAGCACAGCTCGAGGAGACTTCAGCTTCGCTTGCATGGACTCTGCCATTTGAAGATTAAGCTGCCACCCAATTGTTTCAAGCTACAAAACACAAATTTAGATTACAATCAGATGGTACAGAAGCACTCGGGTCAACTTTCAATATTGTGAAAGGTCTGTGACAGTGAACACGATGTCAGGCTCTACAAACGTTAAGCATTTTTATACAATGCAAATTCTGCAAATTCTCCTAGACTCCAAGGATTTGCTTCTCTCTCCTGCCAAATTTATCAGTTCAAACTGCCTGTGGCCACCCAAAATAAAGCGACTTCATATGCCTCAGATCTGCTGGAACCAATCCATAAAACACAACTAAGGATCCAAAATAAAGTAGCTTCCCCCTCCTTGTGGAAGTTTATCAGCAAAGTTGCAGATTCAATTTTGTTTCGCATTTATTTTTCTTTTAGGAAAAAGAAAAAAGTTACCAATAAGTGGTAAACTAGCTAAAAATGGTAATTTCTTAATCAACAGATCTACTCATGGGTGTTCTACCATATACAGACTAACAAAAATAATTCTGTGCTGCTTTTTGAATTGTTACTACTGAAAAGTGAAAAACCAGTTAAGCATGTGAGCAACAGAATTTTTAATAGAAAAACACATTTCAAATTGCATTTTAATCATTAATCTAAAATTATATTCAAACATTTTCAAGCTACACCTCATGCATAAATGTAGCATGGAAGAACAGAACTACAAGTCTTTCACAAAATAACCTACCTGGCCTTCTTGAATAAAGAAAAGTAGAAATTTGAAGTCTTACCATCTAGCAAGTTAATTTGCATACAAGTTCTTTCTAATCTAGTGTCTCCCCTCTACTAGTAAATATTGTGGCTGACTTGGTAAAAGTGAAAGCATGCCATATCTTAGTTAGTCTCTCAGCAGCCCAACAGTTCAGGTAAAGTCATGAACGCACAAAGCCATCCGAGTGGCACTGTACTGTGACCAGCAGAGAAGCCAATACAAGCCCTGTCTCCTACCGCGACAGTAATCTCTAGATGACTGATAGGAAAGCAAGTGGCAGAAACATCTTCCATGGGCACAGCTCAAAGACAGAACTTCCAAAATTTACGGCATTTACATTTACACATTAATGTATCTTATGTTGCACTTCTCTGTCTATTGCATTGATTTCATACCAATTACACAACAAATACTGAAAGCCATATGAGTAAACACACCAAAAGGAAAAGTATATATCATGACCTATTAACCACCACTGCCATTTCAAGGTGGTTAGGGAGTGTAGCTAAGGCCAAAGTCAACGGAAAGACACAGTCAGTCTCAGACTGACTTTATGTACAGCTGTAGGAACAAGACAGTAGGAAGAACTTCAGCAGGTCAGCCTGCAGTCTGTCAGCTGCTCTGCAATAAATGCCCCTATTCAGGCTTCACTCTGTGGTAAAAATAAGTAAGTTTATACATTAATCAAATCGATGAAAGCATGTATACAACACAAACATGCATAGCTAAAATACTGTAAATCTGGTCCAGCTCATTTTGTGGTAGACACAGCTTTAGTAAGAGTATGCCCACAGCCGATGAACTAAAGATGGTTTAAAAGACAAGTTTTATATATTCTAAAAGCAGATTAATTTTTAATCATAATTCCTGTTTTGATTTCCTCTAGCCTGATTACATCTTGAATGATGAAAATAATCGGGCACTGCCCATCCCACCCAAAAGTACAGCACAATCCAAAGCTGATTCTGTGGATGTGCTGAAGTCCGTCACACTAAGGGCGAAGTTCCTGTGCCGGCCAGGATCTAGAATCTTCCAGGAAATTATACCAGAATGACAGAGCTAGAAAACATATTTCTTTCTACAAACTTCAATAAAATTAAGAAATTACCTCTGTTTCTCTCAAGAGCATAAAGATCTTAGCATCTTGCCTTACTTCAGGTTTTAGATCGAGAAAGTTCAGTTCAGTTAAAGAATCCTATAAAATTTGTAACAGAGAAGGACCCAAATGCTGACTTAAATGCTAGTGGTGGGAGCAGCCTGAAGCAGGCAACAGGAAGCAGTACTACCTATTTTGATAGAACACCCAACGACTAATGCCAAACACAAAGACAGCGAGCAAGCTCTAGAGTAGCAACTGCTCCTCATACTGCAGTCACTAAGGGTGAAGCCCCTCAATTTAGAAAGGATTTTCTGTCAGTTACTTAAACAGTTTATTATAGTAGTATGGAAACCAAGCCTTAGGCAGGCTAGCAGCTTATCCAGGATTATAAAAAAAGGACAATATCCTAGGAAGCCTGACTTCTAAGACTTTTCTAAAGCCATTAAACAGTGTAATGTGTGCAGCATGAAAAACAAACCATCAAAAGCAAAGAAATTCAAATTTATGTGTTCTATTTCATTTTTAATACACATCTATCCAGGAATATTGTAGAGGGCTCAGAACAAATACAATATATGTGGCAGCACAGTGGCCTGAGTTTATAGCTCAACAGCAGCCGTAACTCTTTTTTGGTATTGCTTTACCTTAAAATTACTTTGTTTTCCTATATGATTCATGCATCTTTTCTGTTTTAAATATAGTTATATGAGAACAAGTTCTGATCAACAACTAGCATGCTGCCTAAGACTTCAAAATGGTCCAACTATTTATTTTCTTGAAAGAAAAATGCAGCACGTATTTGGCTATGGTGGTATCTACTTAGAAGATATTCAACATCCTGAAATATCAATTAACCTTTTGAGAGCGATGACATGTTTCTGCATGCCATTTGTCAAGGCACAGTACTTGGTAGCCACAAAGTGGTACGTATTTTAGGGCCAATTTTTTCAAAAATGAAGGAACTATAAAATTACTTTCACTTCCAATATAAAACTTGTTCTAGAAAACAAAACATTGGGAGAGGCTATACAATGCCAGAATCTGTGATAACATTGGCACTTGTATTACCTGAAAAGCAGTTACTGGTGGTGGTGGAGGGAGGGGAGGGAAGTATTTCTCCATAACAATCAGAAAAATAAAGCCATGGTTTTAGTTACTATAGACCTTTAGCTTCTTTTTACAATTTCTTATCAGCAGTTTAGAAATGTGCAAGCTACCTTGTCATTGCAACATAAACACTGTTGAAAATGTACTATTCAGCACTGTAAGTTCTCACTAGTATCTCTGGCACTTATTTAACCTCAGGGTTATGTTTAGAAAACAAAATACAGATGCAAGCTGGAAAACATGGAAAGGAAAAAACATAGACACTAAATAAAACCAATGCTTCAGATCTGCTCCATGAACTTGCGGCAAATGATTAGGGGCAACAAAGATACGATGAAGCTTTCAACAACCCCTGTAATCATTAGTTCCCATGTCCATTTTGTTCCACTGAGGCTTCCGAGAAGGATACCATGACAACCAGGAATAACAGCCATGGAAGAACCTATGCAATTCTCACTTCCAGTGCCCACTCAGTACTGGCTGTAGAAAGCACACGGTGCTACACCTGCTAAACCAACTCTGTACCCCCTGCAACCAAAGTGCTTCTCAGTGGCCATCCATGCCTGTGCCAGGGGCAGATCCACACTAGAGATCTGCCAGTTCCCCTAATAAAAGAGGATCTGACCCCTCATCTGTAGATCACTAACACCTTTACAGGTACATAAATACATCATCTCTGGTCTGTCTATGATGAAGTCTATGATATCCACAGTCATTTTCCTCCCAACTCAAGCCCACTGTCCTGTCCACCAGACTACTTTCCATACTAAATAGTAGAGCATAGTATTTTACATATTAGGGCAAGATCATCAGCAATCCAGCATAGTTATGGTAAAATGTTTGGGTGAAAATCATCCTCTGCAAAAGCTCATGTACACTAAATGTCAAGTCAGCTTTCACAGCTTATCCGATATGAACTTTCAGCATGATCTCCAAGAAAATAAAGGATTTCACATATCCAAAATTAACATCCCCAAAATCAATCATTTCCTTCATCACTTACGGTCCATTATGTTTTTATATACTATTGTCTCTTTCCAGCATATTTTCACCACAGGTCCTTACTTTCATTTTTGACTGCCCATAAATATTACTACAAATTAAACCAAAACTGAGAAGAAATTCAAGAAGTCAGATAAACATGACAAGTTTCTATACTAGCTGTCAAAAAAATCAAAATACTTCTCCTTTCTCAACTACATGAAGATATTTATGTTATACTCTTTAATAAGAAATCAAACAAATGTTCCTGGGCCAAAAAAACCCCAACAGGTTAAAAAGGTCAAGAAGAAAACAATCATAGAATCACAGAGTCGTCTAGGTTGGAAGGGACCTTTAAGGTCAAGTCCAACCATTAACCTAACGCTGACAAAACTACCACTAAACCATGTCCCAAAGCACCACATCTACTCATCTTTTAAATACCTCCAGGGATGGTGACTCCACCACTTCACTGGACAGCCTGTTCCAACGCTTGACAACCCTTTTGGTGAAGAAATTTTTACTAATATCCATCCTAAACCTCCCCTGGTGCAACTGGAGGCCACTTCCTCTTGTCCTATCACCTGTTACTTGGAAGAAGAGACAGATGCCCACCTGCCTTCCAGGTAGTTGTAGAGAGCGATAAGGTCTCCCCTCAGCCTTCTTTTCTCCAGGCTAAACAACCCCAGTTGCCACAGCTGCTCCTCACAAGACTTGTTCTCCAGACCCCTCACCAGCTTTGTTGCCCTTCTCTGGACACACTCCAACATCTCAGTGTCTTTCTTGTAGTGAGGGGACCAAAACTGAACACAGTACTCAAGGTGGGGCCTCACCAGTGCCAAGTACAGTGGGACAATCACTCCTCTAGCCCTGCTGGCCACACTATTCCTGATACAGGCCAGAATGCCATTGGCCTTCTTGGCCACCTGGACACACTGCTGGATCATACTCAGCTGGCTGTCAAACAACACCCCCAGGTCCTTCTCCTTGGGGCAGCTTTCCAGCCCCTCTTCCCCAAGACTGTAGCACTGCATGGAGTTGTTATGACCCAAGTGCAGAACTCAGCACTTGGCCTTGTTGAACCTCATACCATTGGTCTCGGCCCATTATC